AATGCTCCCAGGTGGCAATCTGCTATACCAAATTTCAGCCGCTCCACTAAGCGTTAAATGGAAGGCTCTGCATTTCACGGCTGGGGTGGCGCCCCTTAAGCTCATGTGAGTTTTATAAGCATTTAGGTGCTTCTCCGGGTCGCCTCTTCCGTCATACTTTGGTATTTTTAGCATGACATAGTGGCTCGGGACCTGGGCATTCCTTAGTTCCGTTGAGAATGGTAGATTCTCATCGTCATCGTCTAAGTCGCAGGACCTCTGCTGTTCGTCAGAGTCGTACTCATCAACCCCATGCCCTGGTTGTCGGTGAGAGGTTCCAGGGCGATCCCTAGCCTCTTCCCCCCTCCTCTGTTGCCTATTTCTAGGTGGAGCAACACGGGGGGCATTTTCATGCCTTCTCTCTGCCTGCTGGGGCATTGGAGGTGGAGGAGACGGCCTTGTCCAAGGCTGTTGTGCATGTTGTTGCCTGAGCCTCGGTTCGGCGGGGTTGTTTCTGTCAAAAACACTTCCTGCCCTCCTAGTTGGAAGAAACATCAACTTCCACTTCCCTTTCAAATGGGCTTCCACCTCGGCCATAGTCTGGCGAGGCAGTTCTATGACTTTGAACTTCATCCTCTTGCTGGTAATGCCTTTGGGGGGCGTATGGAAGAATGGTGAAGCCTCCCTGGCCCTGCATTTGGGCCATAAGCTCCCTCATAGCCAAGTTTTGGCTAGCAATATCCCTCATGTTGGTGGCCATTTCTCTTGATAGTCGTGCCGTCGCACGCATCCCACCTCTTCTTTAGTGGTGGTGGAGTCTTTGCCGAGCTGCTGGGGTAGCGGGCTGAGGAGGCACGTTCGTGTTTTCTCTTACTCTCTTGGGGGGAGTATCTTCATTGGAGCTCATTTTCTTTTGCAAGACTTCAGATTTCACTAAGTAATGGGGCTTCCTCCTATTCTTTTCCAAGAACAAATCTTTTTTCAAGGGCTTCGACCCAAATGTCCTTTCAGTAAGCTTTTACCACAAGGTTGCTCGCGGTTATGGTATGGCTTCCCACAGACGGCGCCAATCTATTGACCCCAAAAAGTGTTGTCAACAGATGCTGGTCCCACCCGCACACACGTGGGCAAATGTCTAACACGTTATGACACGTGTACGATCTACAACGAGTGATTCAAAGGGCGTGGGAGTAGCCAAAAGACGCGGGACGGTGACGTTCGGAATCCGACGGGTTGTTCGTGATCGATTGTACAATAATTACCAACCGGTGTTCGTAAATGTACAGGTAAATATATGTAAACTCGATTTGTGTATTGCAAATAAATGAGAGAGAGTTGAGTAAAGTGTAGTTCTTTGTATTGATTCTTGCATTAGTCCTTTGACGTTACATAAGGGAAGTATTTATAGTGATTCATGTGAAATGGGGGCCCTTGGATGAGGTGGCACGTTGCCTCATCTCTTTGATTCAAACATCTTATCCTAGGCAGGGGGCTTGACTTGCTAGCTTGCTGCGCATTTATTACTTGTACAGAGCCTCCATGCTAGTGGCAAGACTTGACCTTTATACTTATGACAAACGTTCCATCAATCATTCGAATAAGATCTTTGTGTAGAAGATCTCTTGGGAGAAGTGATCATGGAGGACGTTCCCATGTGGTTCGGAGGCTTCTGCATCAACTTCGAGGCTTCGACCATTTCATACAATACTTCCACTTGAGGGTTTCATCTAACTTCAACCAGCTCCTCATCATGGCGTCGGGCTATAGGCCTCAGCATGTCGACCTCGATTACCATCACAGGCCTCGGTGAACGGGCATGTCTAGGATTGAAGGGCTTCGGCCATAGCCCACCTCGACAATATAAACCGCCTCGGCTGAAGAGCCACATGGTTCGGCCTGAGTGGGCCATTGGCCCAGGTAGATTGGCCAAGTATGACAATACGCAACACACATTAATACTTATTTTTCTTTGCTTTTCCTTCTGATGTGTATTGAAATTAAAAGATACCCACCCCCAATAAATATGAAAAGGAAAAAAGAAGGGGGGAAAAGTGAATTCAAATTGAACATAAAAATTAGTGAAGGCCAACAATTTTGCAGTTATATCAAAGAAGTTCCAATGGTAAAACAAAAATTAGTAATTCATACGCACAGATTTCACATGAGGTACTTGAATATTGTCTACAACTCTATTGTTACGAGTGCATCTATCATGTATTCTTTTACATTAGATCATGTATGTTTATGCATATCTGTGCCTGCGCTAGCACACAGGCATTCTGATAAAATTGAAACAATGAAAAGAAGATTAGCATGGCACATGCACAAGGATGACACATATAAATCGAGAAATGGTAGCTTTCATGCGCAACCACATAATAAACCGTTACACACCTACTTATATAACTAGCAAAATATCAAGGCTTTTATATATGCACGCACTTATACACATTTCTACGTGCTTTTTGTGTGTGTGGCACTTCATGACATAGAAACATGTAATATGAGTAGCAGATAGTGAAACTAATAAGTATTATTTCAAGTTAACATGGGATAACCTACGTCGTTTCTTTTTAAGTACCTATGGCTACATCTAGTGGAAAATCCAATTCAACCAGAATAAGTCATGTTAATTTTTGTTTGTCCCTTCGTCTTCTAACCTAATTAAGGAGAACTCATCACTCTTATGAATATATAGGAGCCTTTTCGGGTTACTACTACATCTAATGGAAAATCCAATTCAACCACAATAAGTCATGTTAGTTTTTGTTTGTTCCTTCGTCTTTTAACCTAATTAAGAAGAACTCATCACGCTTATTAATATATAGGAGCCTCTTCGGGTTACTCTCAATAAGATTGATAAATTACGATAATTATATACCACGAAGCTTATATAGGATTGGAGCAATTGACTGATCTTTCCTATGCTGTAAACGACTTGTGAAATAATAATAATAATTTGATGTTAAATAAAATTGGATACCTAATAATGAGATGGAAAATATTGAATGATACTAAAATAAAGAGTTCTAGATATTATGTTTTTAATGATAATCTTATACATAAAAGTGCAAATCCAGCACATAGATAATATGAGATTGTCAAAACTTTAATCGTTCAAATATGCACAATCACACTCGTTACATATTTTTTTCTTAAAAAGAAAAGAAAATCCTAGCACCAGATAATCTTTTATGTATCTCTATGAAAACTTTGTCAATAACTTTAAGTAATATGTCAAACTAAAGTAACAAAGAACAATTGAAGAATCCGGAAGTAGGCGTGAAGGTCTCGCTTGCTTCTATTCTCTTTAATCATTTGGATAGCCTTCTTTCTAAAAGGTGTTCAAAAAGCCACTTCTCAGTGTAGCAATGCAAGCATCATAGGTCATTTGAGTTTTATTATCGTTTGATATCATACGCATTTGAGAGATGTTAGTTGAATTCATCAAAAGCTACTCGAAGAACCTCAAAAAAGGTATGTTAATACGCAGTACTATTACAATTGCCAAAATTAGGTCTCTTTCTTAATACTATCCAACACCGTGTAGGACACCTTACCAATTACACTTTCAATATATTTTAGTGAACTTCTAACATCTTAAATAGTATCCAATTGGCTAAAATGGTGTCGATGTTTACCAGGAAAAATGATGAGCAAGAACACCTTGGCTCTAGGACAAAAAGTCTGGTGCTTATTGTTGATGATGATAAAATCATTCGAAGGATTCATAAGATGCTTTTGACTAAATTTGGATTTGAAAGTCATGCCGTTGAAAATGGAAAAGAAGCTGTTGATCTTTAAATCTCTGGAAAAACATTTTGATCTTATTCTTATGGATATGGTAATGCCAGTCATGGATGGACCTAATGTTAGATCAACTTTTAAAGCTAAAATTCAAGAATGCATTTATCCAAAATACAAACAATTGCAACATATTTTATAGGTAAAATCTCCATTGAGAGAAATTTGAAGCCAAACCTTCCATAAAAATCTAATTCTTTTGACAATTGATATTTTAAACACTATTTCTTTTATTCTGGTGCTAAACAACACATGCTTTCATGATTTTAAATGTACTATTATTATCATATCTCTCCGCTGGATTTTGCAGTACATTCATATGAATATCTTTCAACAACTGCTATTCCACATATAATAATTTACTTGTAACAATATCTCATTAATTCATCTTTATTGTTGCGAAATATTTTTCACTATTCTTTGTATAGTACGCTACATGAGAGCTTCGATCCATGGGGGTCAACAACATGATTGTAGGAGTGACTTCACGAGGTTCGGCCTCCGAGAAACGAGCATTTACAGAAGCTGGTCTTGGTTACTGTGTCGAGAAGCCATTAAACTATGAAACAATCACCTCTCTGCTACAAGAGCTTGACAAGAAATACTAAATCTAATCAAAATAGAGTATGACGTGACAAATAGTCACCTTCTGGCCTCAGAGCTACAATTTTCATTTCTTTTTAAATTTATGCATATTCATTACCAATGTATTAAAGCTGGATAATTCATGCTCTCTTTTACTAACCAAGTACGATGTTCTCTTTTATCTCGTGTTTATTATTTTTTTGAAGTTAAGGAAATGGACAAAACGGGGAGAGGGTTTTATTTTAAAGTAATGCCCACTCTCATTATTTCCAATACGGTGAAAGAATTTTATTCTAATTCATTGTAAAATGTCTAAACACTGAAAAGATCTACTCTACCTTCTAATATTTCAAATCAATTCATGGATAAATCCACATAAACTAATTGGATTTTTGCATATATATCAAAGAACGAAGTGATAATAAATAGAGAAAACACAAAATGAATTTGAACACAGTTTCGTAACAAACCAAAAAGTGTGTAAAGTCTTGAATTTGAGAAATACAAATTTCCTTTTTTCACTTCCTTCTTCCTATTAGTGTTGTCCTCTCAAAAGTTTTAGCCAATCCAAGTTAGTATACCCATCTTTCCTCCAACAAACTGGTATCAGAGCCATAAAATTCTTGTGAAAAATGGCAAGTGGGATGATTCATTTTCAAGTCCCCCAACTCAACAAGGATAACTACGACAATTGGAGCATAAGGATGAAAGCATTGCTCGGGTCGCAAGATGCATGGGAGACCGTAGAGAAAGGCTACACGGAGCCACAAGACGAGGTTGCTCTATCCCAAGCACAAAGGGATAGTTTGAAGGATGCAAGGAAGAAGGACAAGAAGGCGCTCACCCTCATCTATCAAGCCTTAGATGAAGGCAAGTTCGAGAAAGTAGCTTGTGCTACTACGAGTAAGGAAGCATGGGAGATCTTGCAAAACTCCCACAAAGAAGTTGAGAAGGTGAAAAAGGTTCGACTTCAAACACTTCGAGGTGAGTTTGAAGCTTTACATATGAAAGAATCGGAATCAATTTCTGATTACTTCTCTAGAGTGTTAGCTATTGTGAATCAATTAAAAAGGAATAGAGAAAAGTTGAACAACAGTCGAGTAATTGAGAAGATACTTAGGTCTTTAGATTCTAAATTTGACTACATAGTTGTAGCCATTGAGGAATCTAAAGATCTAGATAGTACGAGTGTCGATCAACTCATGGGATCTTTACAAGCCCATCAGGAAAGACTAAGGAAGAAGGTGAAAGAAGAGCCATTAGAGCAAGCCCTTCAAACAAAGCTTACTTTGAACGAGGGTGAATGAATGTTCAATAGTAGAAGAAGCCAAAGAGGAAGAGGATGAGGCCAAGATCGAGGAAGAATTGCATTCTACAAGGAGGAAAGAAAACAAAGTTCATTTTCTACCAGAGGTCGCGGAAGAGGAAAATGTACGAGGCAAAATGAAGGACCAAGGTATGACAAATCTCAAATTAAATGTTACAATTGTCAAAAACTTGGTCATTATGCTTCAGAATGTAGAAATATTACTAACCAAGTTGAGGAGAAAGCCAACTACGCTTGTTGGGAAAGTGAAGTAGATCTTGCACTACTATTGGCTTACAAAGGTGAAGAGCGCAGAGAAAAGAATACTTGGTATTTGGATACGGAGCAAGCAACCATATATGTGGAAGAAAAAACATGTTTGTGGAGCTTGATGAATCAGTAAGCGGCAACATTACCTTTGGAGATGAATCCAAGATCCTAGTGAAAGAAAAAGGTAAAATCTTGATCCGCTTAAAAAATGGTACGCATAATTTATCTCAAATGTCTATTATGTGCCCAATATGAAGAATAACATTTTAATTTTGGGACAACTCTTAGAGAATGGCTATGATATTCATTTGAAAGATTATAGTCTTTTAATAAGAGATCAAAGAGAAAATTTGATTGTCAAAGTCCCTATAACAAGAAATAGAATGTTTGCGTTAAGTATTCAAAATGATGTCGCTTAATGCTTAAAAGCTTATTTTAAAGATTCATCTTGACTTTGGCACTTGAGATTTGGGCATCTTAATTTTGGATGCTTAAAGTTGTTGAGTAAGAAGAAAATGGTGAAAGGTTTGCCTCCAATAAATCATGCGGATCAATTATGTGAAAGATGCTTACTTGGAAAACATTCAAGAAAAAGTTTTCCGAAAAAAGCATCTACAAGAGCTAAAAAGCCGTTAGAACTTGTACACTCCGATGTTTGTGGGCCAATTAATCCAAGCTCTCTCGGTAAGAGCAATTATTTTTGTTCTTTTTATTGATGATTTTAGTAGAAAGATTTGGGTCTATTTTCTCAAACAAAAATTGGAAGTTTTTGAAACTTTTAAGAAGTTTAAAGCTCTTGTTGAAAAAGAAAGCGGATATAGTATAAAAGCCTTGATATCGGATAGAGGAGGAGAGTTCACCTCCAAAAAGTTTGAGAAATATTGTGAGGAGAATGGAATTCGTCGCCCATTAACAGTTCCACACTCTTCACAACAAAATGGAGTAGTCAAAAGAAAGAACAGATCCATTCTTAACATGGCCCGCTGCATGCTCAAAAGTAAGAGATTGTCCAAAGAACTTTGGGCTAAAGCTGTTAATTGCGCCGTGTATCTGTCTAACCGATCACCTTTTAGAAGTGTGTGGAATAAGACACCATAAGAAGCATGGAGTGGAAGAAAGCCCAGCATCTCTCACTTACGAGTATTTGGGAGCATTGTATATGCTTATGTACTAGATCAAAAACGCAATGAGAAGATCACCATAAGTAGAGATGTCGAGTTTGTTGAAGAAGGAGCTCGGGATTGGGGTGTCCAAGAAGAAGACTATGACTTCTTGCCATTCTTTGATGAAGAAGAACAAGAGAATAGAGAGCAGCAAGAGATTATCGGTCCACCTCTATCACCTACTCATGGAGATACTTCTCCATCATCTTCACAAAGAGAAAGTTCAAGCGAAAGGACACCACGGATGAGGAGCCTACAAGAGCTATATGAGGTAACAGAAAATCAAAATGATCTCACACTTTTTTGTCTTTTTGTCGATTGTGAACCAATAGGGTATGAAGAAGCGGTGCAAAATAAAATATGGAGAGATGCCATGGATGAAGAGATTAAGGCTATTGAGAAAAATGACACATGGGAGCTAACAACTCTTCCCAAAGAAAAGAGAGCAATCGGAGTTAAGTGGGTGTACAAGGCAAAGAAGAACGCTAAAGGAGACGTAGAAAGATACAAAGCAAGATTGGTTGCCAAAGGCTACAACCAACGGTCGGGAATCGACTATGAAGAGGTATTTGCTCCTATTGCTCGTTTAGAAATCATAAGATTAATTATCTCTTTTGCAGCGCAAAATAAGTGGAAGATATTCCAAATAGATGTGAAATCGGCATTTCTAAATGGCTATCTCGAAGAAAAAATTTATGTGGAGCAACCAATGGGCTATAAAATAAAAGGACATAAAGGTAAAGTCCTGAAACTAAAAAAAGGCTTTATATGGGTTGAAACAGGCTCCAAGGGCATGAAATAGTAGAATTGACAAGTATTTTCTAGAAAATGACTTTACAAAATGCTCTCACGAGTATGCCCTTTATACAAAGGTAAACGAGAAAGGAGATATTTTGCTTGTTTGTTTGTATGTAAATGATCTTATATTCACAGGAAATAATCAAAGTATGATTACTGAGTTTAAAAAGGTCATGGCTCAAGAATTTGAGATGACGGACATCGGCCTCATGGCCTACTATCTTGGGATAGAGGTAAAGCAAATGGAGGACTGCATTTTCATCCCACAAGAAGGATCCGTCGAATGCGGAATCAAGTTGTTGATGAATGATGAAGGTGAAAAAGTAAATTCAACACTTTTTAAGAGTCTTGTTGGAGGTTTAAGATATTTGACGTACACAAGACCAGATATCATTTTTGGAATTGGGCTCATTAGTCACTATATGGAGACACCTACCATGACCAATATGAAAACTGCAAAGAGAATTCTTCGCTACATTAAAGATACGCTTGATTATGGCTTAGTCTATTCATCATCTAATGAATTCAAACTTGTTGGATATAGTGACAACGATTGGGGTGGAGATAGTGATGATAGAAAAAGTACGACTGGATATGTGATTTACTTGGGCGACAGAGCTTTCACCTGGACCTCAAAAAAAGCAATCGATCGTAACACTATCTACCTATGAAGCTGAATATGTTGCAACAACATCAAGTGTCTGCCATGCTATTTGGCTTAAAAACTTGTTGAAGACGTTTGGAGTTTCACAAGAAGAACCAACCGAAATCCATGTTGATAACAAATTTGCATTGGCATTGGCAAAGAACCCAGTATTCCATGACAGAAGCAAGCACATTGATACAAGATATCATTTCATAAGAGAAAGTATTGCAAAGAAAGAAGTGCAGCTGAAATATGTAACCTCCCAAGAGCAGATCGCCGACATTCTCACTAAGCCACTCATGCATGATGTGTTCGGCTAGTTAAGAACTCTACTTGGAGTAGCAAAATCAAGTTTAAAGGGGATGTTGAGTAGTAAACTTGATTTTTGGACTAAATAATAAGGGCTTAAGAACTTTGCTTATAGGCCCAAATCAATTAAAAGACCCAACATGCATAGCATTTCTAGAAGCATTATCTAGAAAAATCTATATAAATATCTAAGTAAGATATGTGATTTTATAAATACTATCTAGAGAATTCTAGGAAAATATCTTGATGTGTGGTCTAGGTGTCTCTAGAAAATGTGTGGACTAGAATCTTCTTGTAAACACTATATAAAGGGGTAGTGCCCTCCATTTTGTAACAAGCCAAAAAGTGTGTAAAGTCTTGATTTTGAGAAATACAAGATTCTTTTTTTCACTTCCTTCTTCCTATCAGTGTTGTCCTCTTAAAAGCCTTTGCCAATCCAAGTTAGTATACCCATCTTTCCTCCAACAAGCTGCACCAGTAATAAATGCATCTCCATTTGTGGTATTTCAAATGCGATGATTTGTGGCTCAGCAAAGTCTCCTTGTGAGGAGGAATTTTCAAGCTGGATTTGCCCAGTCACCAAATTTTCACATTATTTCAATTGACTCACTACGTAAATAGTGTATAGTCGGTTTTGTGTCCATCAAATTTGGTGGCAAAAGGTATCCATAATGTGTTGAAATTTTTCAAGTGTATTCATGCGAAGGTGCATGGTAGCCACTTATTTGAGGCTCCTCAATATGAAAGCATATTAGTTCATGTTCATGTTGTTGTTTCAAGCACTCTAGTCATAAGGATTTCCAGTATTTGTGACACGGTGCTCAAATTTGAAGTCGAGGTAGGATAAGTTATAGTTAGGGTTCGCCAGTGATTTAGAGAATTAGCTGGTTTAAGGTCTATATAACGACATCTAAGGTTTATATAACGACATTTGTGCACAAAATCACATTTGAGATTTAAGGTTTATATAACGACATCTATACTCTTGAAAATGCAGATGTATTTTTATTTTTTTCCCCTAATAATTTGTTTAGAAAATATGGTTACTATGTTGATTATTGAGGTAAGTTTTTCTTCCCTTTTTATTTTTCTAAATTCAACATTTATTTTTTTCAGCTAAACAATTTCATTTGTCCGATCACCAAATATGTTACGCGTTAACAATATTGTTAAATCGACTAACCACCACGTAGATAGGGACTTAACTGCAACAAATGTGAAAGTTTCTTAACCAAATTCCACTTTGCACTTTGTTACGTGTCCATTTGGAAACATTTCACATTTCTATCTATCCACCGGATATGGGGGTGCTAATTGGTCTCGAGGATGCTGGAGCCCTCTAAATCTGTTCCAAGAAGTTGTTCATTTTTAGCCAAGGAAATAGATCAAAAGGAGTATTTGTTCTTTTCTCTATCCTAAGGGGTTGGGGGAACTGTCCTCGTTAACTTTTTTATTTTCTATTTGAGAGTTATTGAGCTAATTTACAATTCTTTACTTCTGTTATTGTTATTCATATAACTTAATCGATTTCAACTCCAATTAACGAATTCGAAAAGAATATACATTTTAAAAGCCAAAAGAATCTTATTGTGGATGGATGAACCAAAGTTTGAGAAAGCGGTAAATTACACCTAACGAATCATGTATTGGAACTAAAACTAAAGAAAGAACGATCATTTATCAAGAACCTAAAGCATTGTAATAACATTTGCTACATCATCTCACATCGTTGGGCAGTCATTTGGATTTTCATATCTAAAGTAGCCATAGCAAATAACATGTGAGTACTGATGAGATGCTCGTGGTGGCAGTCCTGTGGAAGTATGGGGGTGATTCGGTAGAGGTAAGCCTACTCGTGGTGCTAGCACTGGAAGATCATAATGGTGACCCCATTGAAGGAGACATGGTGGGGACGGTGGGCGTGGAGGACAATGATGGTGATCTGGGAGAGGAAGGCCTAATCTCGATGGTGGCCTTGGACGACCATGGTGGTGACTTGATGGAGGGAAACATGGTGGTGATGGTGGTCCTGGAGGTACTGGTAATGATGGGTCAAGTCGAGCTAGCTCGGCCCTTAACCTCACGAGCTCGGCTCGCGCTCGTGGCACATTTTCAACGAGCCGAGCTTTGACTCGTGGGCTTGTCTTTTTTTTTAATAGAGAAAAATACAAATAATGTAATGAAAACGCTTTTAAAAAAAATAAAAAGTGTTAAAAAATACAAATAATTTAATGAAAACACATTTTTATTTTTTTATTTATATCATATTGTAATATTTTTTATAAAGTATAAAATATTTATATAATGAAGATGAATTATTTTTTTGAAATACATTTACAAAAAATATTTTTTTATTTCTTTTTAAAGTAGATAAAATGTAAACCATCATCCTTTATCTAGACTTGGGACCGGCTACATCAATTTTAAGTAGGTGGAGTTAAAAATTGTACACGAATAACTTGTTGTAACGTGTACAATTTTTTAAAGAAAATTAAATTTAACG